GTTATTGGTACGGGGCTCTGACATCATCATGTTCTCTTTGTAAGCTGGACTCCAGTCTATGGAACATTGCCATCACTGCTCTGAGATGCCTTCCTAAAGCTTACACCATCAGATATTTGACTGTAGAGGGTTCAGTTTATTTTTGGCTGATGCTTTCAGCTGCTAATATACAACCCTTACTTTGCGGAGTTCATTTTTACTAATTTTCCTATTAGCTACAAAGTAGACTTGTGTGTACGGTGAAAAAATTTGCTTTTCCCTATTTCGTTGCCCCTCAAACCTTTTGTTCGAATCAAACAAAAACCTTATCCATTTTCCTTATGAAACATCCTTATGTTGATTTGCAGTTGCAGAATTCGTACAGCCTGCTGATCGTCCAGAATTTGGGTAAACTGAAATTCATTAGCACTAGTCTACTAAAAAGACTGTTTCTCAGCCCATCACAGGGTTACTATTTTTTAGTCTGCTTACGACCGATTGGCATGTGGAAGGGATTTGCAGTTGTGACTAGGTATACCGTAATAACAGAAGACCACATTGACCTCCCTGGTACCGCTGTGCACATCTGAAACAGTTTTGGAATTTTTGAAAATTCTCTAAGCCAGCTACGCTTTAATTTAGCTACTCAGACTTAAATGTAAAATTCACTTTGAATTGTCACATTAGTGAGTAACACAGAAGATGTAAGAGTGTAAATTACAGATTTTCGGCAGATAGTCTATGGGAGTGCTGGTAAGTGGTAACTATACAGTTCTAGGTTTTTTATTGTTGCCAAACAGGGGTAGAAACATTGAGGTACGCAGTGCACCCTTTAGTGTACGCTTCCATAGAATATTATCATCCATACTAAACAAATTACGGCGCTAAATATTGTTATGATGACAGTAGTGATGTCCCTAATGGTTCGGCCAACTGTTCGGGACATCACTAATGACAAGGTGTATAGAAACTGAAGGTTTGCCTTTAACCAGAAACCAATCAAATCACTTTGGCTGTTTTGACCTTAAATGAGACACTATAGTTACTAGAACCATTATAACGTAGTGATTCTGGAGTTTATAACCTGTCTGTGCAGGCTCTTCAATTTAAAGGCTGTGTTTTCAGGAAAAAAAGGCAGTGTTTACATTGCTGTCTAATAACACGTCTAGTGGCAGTCACTTAGACACGATAGTGTTCCTTTAAATTTGAAATTCACTTTGTATTCACTATAAGTGCTCCCTTTAGTAAATAAACCTGATTGACTATCAGGGGGAATTCGTTAATCTTGTGCACTGTGCAAATTTTTGATTCATACGAATGAATTTATACAAAAATACATTTTGTTTTGATTGAAATTAATTTTGTCCATTAATTAATTCATATCTAACGATTATTTGCAATCGCCAGAAACTCTCAGTGGTTTACAAAGTATATAAGTCCCTAATTTGCTATCCTTATGTAGGATTGCCATATTTAAGTGCACAGAATTGGAGGGAGCTGTGTTTAGTAGATAGCTCCCTAGTTTGGTCTCCTCAAATATGACAATCACATAAAAATACCAATTTAGGGAGCTATTTACTAAGCAGCTGAAATACTAAAAAAAAGGGCTTTTCTTAATTTTGAACTTTCAGCTGTTGGTAGATAAGTCCCTAAATAAAAGCAGTACCCTTATGTAGGATTGCCATATTTGAGTGCCAATTTAGGGAGCTGTTTGGTATATAGCCCCTCATTTGGTATTGGCTTAAAATAACCCCTCCCTAATTTGGTAGTGGTACTTTTAAATATGGATTTGTACTAATATGATGAATTTACAAGAATGAACTAACATATTAATCAAACTATGATTTTAATTAATTAATTCATTCATTTATTATTCTATTGTGCCATTCGGAATTTTGATTAATGTGATGATTTTCGTCTGAATTGTGATTCTTCTGAAAAGAAAAGCCAAAGTCTAGAATTAGGTCCTTAGCGGTAGGGTAACCTGGTTAGGTTATGTATATCTATCACATTGTGAGCTATAGACTCCAGAAAGAGGTAAGAGATTATTTTGAAGACTTACTTCAACAGTGATCAGGCTCGTGATAGCGCTGTCATTGTTTAAAGATGCATTGGTGCAGAGCATGGACATCTGGTCAACGGTTTGCACCACAGAATTGCACAACAGGATATTCGGTCATCCACCCTTAAGATCAGAGTTCTAAAAGTGGAGTAGTCACCATGGAAACCAATGGAATGATGCATTGCTGATGAATGCTTCACTTTTAGAACTTTAGCCCAGAATTACTATTCATATACAGGGTGGCCAACATTCATAATAGGGTATGAACCAACTTCTATGATATTACATACAATGAATGCTTAATATATGGAGATATTTCTAAGTAGGTACGGAAGATGACATCTTCTAAATGAGGTGGTGTACCCATAAATAAATATACCTTCCTAATCCTGCAGTGTTGCATGTGTTCTTCAGCTCTCGATCTTCTCAATGAGTTCCATTTGCTGCCTCGCAAAGGGCTCTTTCAATTGCATTGATCATAACATTATTTAGTGTTTAACATTATTTAATGTTTCCACCGTTCCTGTGGAACTCGCTTCCCTCCTCCGTTAGATGCTCACCCAGTCTCCACTCCTTAAAAAAATCGTTAAAAACCCACTTCTTGATAAAAGCGTATCAATTAAACTGTTAATAGCTCCTGACTGATTCCTCTCTTGCAACTGTCACTAGTCTAATACTATCATTACCTTTTTGTGTCATTTTACCCCACTTCCTCTAGCATGTAAGCTCATTGAGCAGGGCCCTTAACCCCTCTGTTCCTGTGTGTCCAACTTGTCTGGTTACAACTACATGTCTGTTCGTCCACCCATTGTAAAGCGCTGCGGAATTTGTTAGCGCTATTTAAATATCATAATAATAATAATAATAATAATAATAATAATGTAGCACTTAATTTCTGCACGGTATTCTCCTCGAGCTGCTCAAGTGTACGTATACACCTGCTCCTGCAGATATTCCCACAAGAAGTAATCGGGAGTTGAACGTAGCCAATTAATCTGGGAATTTCTTTAAATTATCCGCCTGCCGAACAGTTGTCTCAGGAGGCCCATTGTGTGCCCTGTTGAAGCCACATTTCAGGACTATGTTCCACTACAGGACATAAAACATTATCAATCATATCCCTATATCTCACACCAATAAAATTCTACTATTTTTATTTGTTGTTTCTTTGTGAATTTACCCATGATGATTTTCCCAAGACTCATTTATAATATGTATCTGAAAAAAACAACAACTTGCTACTAACAAATAAGTTATTTACCTGTCAAGTCCCACTGTGAAATTTGGCTTGCCTTGTATGAACCAAAGTATTTCTATGAGTGACCAACAAAGAAGGGGAAGCCAAGGGCATCATGGTATATGTTATGACAGATAGGGCATAAAGGTGTAATGCCTTGTTAAAATATCCCCAAAACTATAGAATAGCTAAAAAAAAAGTGTCAACGAGATAAGTAGATAATTTATTTTGCATTGTTGAGAAAATTAGACACCTTACAAGGTTACAGTTTTAAGCAGTTAAATTGCTGCATTGGTTTTACTGGCTACAAAAACAATTACTACCTAGTCTTCAGTGTCAATACCAGTCCCAAGCAGCATTTACTTAAGTAGCCCCAGTGGCCAAGGTCTGTACTTTAATAATCTACAACATCAAAGCCCTAAGCATAATTTTGGAACTACAAACTTTTTGGAATTGTTCCCCCTTCTCAAGTGTATCAAGACTATAAAGGGAGGAACTACAGAGATTGTGTTATATCCACAATTCTATAAACCCAATCAATTACCAGATACTTTACATATTGTATCACATTAATCCTACTGTAAAAAACAATGTCTAAACAGTTGATATCCTGGTCAGAACCATAAGGTGGCAGTATAGGCCCCGTAAATTTTGGCTTGAAGCAGTTTGGGTTTTTTCAGCCAATGAACATCACAGATGCAGGGATTGTATTGCTAAGCAACTCTTGTCTGTTCAGATAAGATGAGAAATGACTTTTTTCAGGGCTTTGGGTATTTTTCTGTGTTTTTTTTTTAACAGGACGAATTAAATTTGTTTTCCTTGGCATTCAGTGTGTGTACAGATTCCTAGTTGTGTATTTTGTATAAACTGAGGTCATTTCAGCTGCATTGAAATGAAATATTGCATGTTCTAGGTATCGCCTTCCCAAACACTGCACTTTATATGTATATTGTGAGCAATGACCAGACTGACACACTGGACGCTCTATCAAGATTCCAGAAACGCCAATATAATTTGTACTTGGAACAGATAAACCCCTAATGCAAGCAATAAAGTCAAGCCGTTTTGATGTATAGATCATGCCCCTGTAGTCTCACTACTCAATTCTCTGCCATTT